CTCAAGAAGTCGGTAAGCCGTTTTAACGTTGTTAGAACAAACGGGCAAAAAGTTGTAGATAATGGTGAATTTGCCTTTTGACAAGTTTCTGCTGAAACTCCAAGGTTATCTTATCGTCTTTTGCTGTCGGGTCTGTGTTTTATGAAAGACAACTAAGAGTATGACTTATAAACAACACAAACTTATAGACTTTAAGCTACTCCAAGTCTTAGTATTCAGCATTGAATTGATTGATTTCAGTATCTAAAATGTGTATAAACTGAAAAAAGGGGATGGGGGTGGGGTGGGGCGAGTATTTTCTTCACAGCAGGTTACCTCCTGAAAGCTTATAACTCTAAAATTGATGTTTCAATTCTGCAGGTAGGCACATCGCAGATAGCCCATTGTGTAACTTTGCAATAAAAAGTTAAAACACAAATTAAGTAAGTTTTGCGACTGACGCCATCTATAGTTGGTTTGTAGTATACACCAATAAACATATTGTTCAACCTAGTGTTTAATTTTATAGTATACTTGATAGGCATTATTTTTATTCTATTATAATATACTAAATCTTATGTAAAAACAACAACAAAAAACATACTGTAACTAAACGTACGTGTGAATTTGTTATTACTAACATTGGTTGTTTACTTGTTTACATTTATTTTTCCGTTGAATATATTCATACATATGTCCCATTTGTTTAATTGATAAGACTTACCGTTTGATAGTTCAGGATTTTAGTTGAGTGTCCTTCATCTGTCTGTTGAGGTAATTCCGTTACAAAACATATAACTAGAAATAACGTCATTACTAAACATAACAGTAAAACCTTCACGTTGGTCCCTAGTCCCCGTAGGACAACGACACGTTTCGGTTTCCTTCTTCTTAATAGTTTTAGGCCTACGGTGTTAAATGTACCAGCTTGTCCTTCGACCATTTCCATCAGTTTACACCCTTGACGACTATATCGCGTTCTAGTGTTAAAAAAATTTCTGTAAACAAGTATATGAAAATTTTTATTGAAATATTTACAACGCTTCTAAGAAGACATTTAGCCTGAACATTCTTTCTGGACATAAGTGTACTGTGAAATCCGCTATTATCGAACTCTTTCTGGAGCTAACAGCTCCCATACGTTCACACACACCTGTTCCAGCAATGACAGGTGGCTAACGCACGCCTTTCGTAGAATAGTGTACTGTGTGTATTTTCACTATTAAATTAAAAATAACAGGAAAACAAAATCTCATTATACAAACATCACATAAACTTATATTTTACTTTACATACACACATGTAATTATGTTGGGTACGAATGGAAATATATGATGCAGAAACAATAATGGTTCCGACCACCAGGTGGCACATATGTCAAACCCAACCAACAAAGAATGAAACTAAAAATAGGTACAGACAGAGTGGATCTTGAAGGTTCTTGAAAGTAACACATTGATAGAACTTGTATGGGAAAAACATATGGTAATCGTCAACGTGTAAATGCCATAATGTTTTCAAACTATGTACTTGTTGAAATACTCCCATTTCTTTCTGAAGACAATAGGCATTTTTTATACATGTATATTGAAAACAGGAGTTCAGTACATAATAAAAGAAAATTCAATGTTCACTGTCCGTTCACCCAAATATCACAATCTTGAGGAATTATTATAATGTGTAGTATTATATTAGAAACGAAAGTCACTCTTCACATTGAACTATTGAAATGTAGGCGGAAATATCTTCATCAATTTTTGTTTACATACACATTTATGGTACTTGAATATTAATTTCTCAAAACGCGAAATACAATAATTTGGTTACATTTTCGTTCACAGTTCGATCTTTGCAAGTGTAAAATACTAGAAAAGGGATTAGTTGTGTGTCTATGCAGAGTCTTCTTTTTAGCCTTCAAGATACGTTGACAATAAATTCTTACACATACTTACTCAGACCATCCACAAAAACAAAAATATATTTTTACCTTAAATACCTTGGAAAGTATTTGCTTTCAGCTATAGTTCACAATGTTGTAATTTGTTTGTTAGCTAGATGGAGCTGCGGGTCTTAATGAACACGTTATTTGGTATAAAAAAGCTGTAAGTTTACTTCAAGTTTCCTCGTACATTTGAAACTAAATTAGACTTATGAGATAGTAGTGAAGCGTGTGGAGTTTCTCAAGATAGAGAGTTGAATCAGTTAGTGTGTTTTCGTGAAGTATTTGAATCTCTATTTGCTACCGCGCTTTTTGAGTTACTTTACAAGTAATTTGATTTTATGTTAGTCCTTGTATTGGAGAGATTCTAACGTCATTTGAACGTAGGCCTACAAAATGTTACGACACTGTATAAATACATCGTACTTGTATTTATAATTCATTGATGTTGAGGCTATCGAACGTCGCGTGAAATTTATTTATGTCGAGGATTTAGAGATTTCTAGAAGGGAGCAGACGATTAAGTGATAACATATAAATAGTACGAGATGAGCGGGAACAGCAGACAGACGAGAGACCAGAGAGTATTGAGAGCCAAAAGTAAAACAGAGTGAAAGAGAGTTTCAGTCAGAAAAAGGTTATGGAAACTTAAAATTAACCGTCGTAGAAGTGAAAGGCCTAAAGGTTGATATATTAAAATGAGATTAACAGTTTTCTGATAATTTAGGAGAAGGTATTCTAAAGCAACTGAACCTGCCTGTGTGGACTTTGACAAAAAACAGACGATTATTTGTAAGTAGGTCTATATGCACAAAACAGGCGTTTATTAGAAGTAGGCCTAAATACGAAAAAGCAGACGAGTATTGGAAGTTCAGGATACAACTGCGGTAACTAAACGAGGCAATATAAGTGAATTATACACTGATACTGTTGTGATGAAAAGAAAAGGAAGAGAGAGAGAAGAAAAGAAATAATTGAATTATACACTGATAGTGTTTAAGAGAAAAATAGTACAGCTTGTCAACTGAATTATAAAGCAGTTAAATGGACTTTTGACAAGAAGAAGACAACTGTATAGTATTTAAGATCCAACTATGATATACATAGTGTAAAACATTTTTGTACATGCGTTTAACTTGTTTTGAATATGCGTTGTTCATTGTTGAATTTATCACCAACAAGTCACAGACACCTACTGTAGAAGAATTTTTTAGCCCAACACACCCATATACTTACTTTAATATACAAGCTAAAAAGTAAGTAGCTTTGAAAGTATCCACTCCATTGTTCTTAAGCAAACCGACTAATCCCATTTTATTGGCAGTCATCACTGTTGCACCATCGGTCATAATGCAGAAGCAGTTCTGAAACCCACCATATTCATTATTAACAGACAAGTGTTGTATAAGTATCAAGTCTTTTTATACTGCTATCCAAAGGTTGCATCTTCAGAAGTTCTTAATGTATTGAGAAATCTTCATCGATAGTGTAGATAAAAATCAGCATTTGAGAATTTCCAATAACATTCGTACTTTCATCCAAAGCTATAAGTGTTAACATTTCTAAACGACAAATTTTAGTTTGGAGGAAACATGTTCATTTATTTTACTTACTCTCCTCGCCACAGTCTGATGAGATAATAATAATATACTTTCAAAACTTCTAGTCATTTTATTATCCCCAAATGTACATGCCGTTCTCACTTCACACTGTTTTACTACTTCCTCGTCTCTAAATGATTTTTAAAAAAATTCACAAGTATCAGAGAGACCTTGTATAATGCAGTAAGACTTGTAGTTTCAGAGTTTGTATACTTACTCAAAGCACGCACGTTTTTCATGTTTCCTTGTCAAGTCCTTCAAACTGTTAGTTGGTGATTCGTCTACATATTTGTCACACTTTATCTTGTGTTATGTGTTATAATGGCACTTTATGTTCATACTGGTCATACTTTATCTTGTGTTATGTATTATAATGGCACTTTATGTTCATACTGGCTATACTTTATCTTGTGTTATGTGTTATAATGGCACTTTATGTTCATACTGGTCATACTTTATCTTGTGTTATGTGTTATAATGGCACTTTATGTTCATACTGGCTATGTGCCATTATAATACATAACACAAGATAAAGTATGACCAGTATGAACATAAAGTGCCATTATAACACAATATAAAGTATAGCCAGTATGAACATAAAGTGCCATTATAACACATAACATAAGATAAAGTATGACCAGTATGAACATAAAGTGCCATTATAACACATAACACAAGATAAAGTCCAGTATGAACATAAAGTGCCATTATAACACATAACACAAGATAAAGTATAGCCAGTATGAACATAAAGTGCCATTATAATACATAACACAAGATAAAGTATACCAGTATGAACATAAAGAATACTTTATCTTGTGTTATGTATTATAATGGCACTTTATGTTCATACTGGTCATACTTTATCTTGTGTTATGTATTATAATGGAACTTTATGTTCATACTGGCCATACTTTATCTTGTGTTATGTGTTATAATGGCACTTTATGTTCATACTGGCTATACTTTATCTTGTGTTATGTGTTATAATGGCACTTTATGTTCATACTGGTCATACTTTATCTTGTGTTGTGTGTTATAATGTTGCCTTATGTTCATACTGGTAATACTTTATCTTGTGTTATGTATTATAATGGCACTTTATGTTCATACTGGCTATACTTTATCTTGTGTTGTATGTTATAATGTTGCCTTATGTTCATACTGGTCATACTTTATCTTGTGTTTTGTGTTACAATGGCGCCTTATGTCGTATTCCTTCGTAAGTATTTGTCACGTTGTCAAGGTTACTGGTGAACAGAGGATCGATGACAGAATAAGTATTAGGCAGTGAATTACATTACTATTTATAAGATAAAATATTTGTGTAACGTCATTGGTTATGTTATGTAATGTAACATTTACTGACAATGGTCCTCTTACAAGAATAACTAACAGCTGGGTGTTTACTTTTGTAAGTGTTCGGTAATAAATGTTTCTTACCATCAATTCTAATTTCATTAGTTCCACATTTCTGTGTGTAAATGGAACATTAAGATAAACTTTATATTTATGTTAAGAAGTTATTATTTTTACGTTTAAGTGATGACAAATAGTAAATAATAATTAGTATATCAGAGTTCTCAAGTAATTGATTTAGGAAATATTCTGTTGACAGGGGTACCTTAGGCGCGACGCGTTCACCTCTGTGTGTGTAGGGGGATTCCGGGGGCTCTCTCCCCGAAATAAATTGAAAAACTACAGGTAAATTCGTGCATTCTGAGCAATTTTAAGACTTTATAGGCAACATTTTCAAAGAGTATTTTATTATGGAATTCTTTAAAAACTGTAGAATTTCTTACCAACCCTACCACAAAATATCAATACTGCTTCCACGACAAAGTCTTTGCGTGATTTTACTCAACATTAAAATTTAATTACATGTACCAGAATGTTACTTATTATAATTCCATATAGCTTGTTTTAGTAATTCCTGGGTTCATATTTACAACAGGAATCTTTGTTGGCCATTATGATGGTTATCATTGAGCCAAGTGTTCCATGCTTGAAATGAGGTTTTGTTTTTTTGAATCAGTGAAAAATAATGTTTTTCTCCTGCATTTGGATGTGGTAGAACAATACAGTTTCTGTTTCACTATACGAGTCAAACATGTTGAAATTTCAACATATAAAAGCTAGGTTGTGATTGGTTGAGTGTTGATAATTGACCAGTGATCATGGACGATAAGTGCACACGGCCTTAGGCTTACGGAAATAAGCGAACTTAGTCGAATAGTAACGAATGAAAGAAATCAACTTGAGTTTTTAATTAACGAAATATATTTTTTAGATAATTCACATCAAGTGCGTGAGATTTACATATCACAGCATGAGAGCGTGTAAATGTGTGACATTTTCCTACGTTGCTCATCATACTTGTTAATACCTGTATTTATGTCTGGTTGAACAAATGTAAGATTATCGACAACCCTCGCAAGGTAATGTACAAACCTCTGAGACCTTTAGGCTTCAGTTTTATAAACTTCTAGTAGGTTTTGTAATAAACTAGCGTGTGCTTTAAATAAAATAATAGGTTGAACAATTCTTTCATATGTCACCTATGTGGTTTTAACTATATATTTCTTTTATACCACGTTTGTTCTGTGTTTACGCTCATGACGTTTAAGTAATAAAGTAAAATATGGACTATTTAAAAAGTGACAGCCTACACAAATATTACCATTTTTAACTCGTCATTAATCTCGTAGGATTAAATTGTAACTAGCGTTTTCATCCAACATCAACACCTTACCTCACCAGGCCACAGATTTGAAGATTTTCGCATACAGCCTATAGAATACATACAATATGAAAATTTAAATGATTTACATTTTAAACTTGTGTCGCGAAAACAGTCCTCTATTTCCCCAGACTGAGCAAGAGCAAGCCAATGAGTATTAGAAGGTATGTATATTTGGGAACAGTATTATTTAGATTAAGAGTTAACTAATAATTACTTCTATCATAACATTCTGAGAAATAGTGGTTCTACAGAATTTTATTTTAAACGTTTTACACAAAAATATGTTATCATCTTTTAAAGTATTACAATAGCACAGACAATCGATCAACTAGGCCTATTGACGTTCTAACCGACCTTTACGCTATTAGCACTAGTCCTTAAAATAATATATATATATAAGGACTGTATTATGTTGCATTAATTATTTTTCAAGTCTTCACTCAAATTTCCTAATGCAAGATAAACAATAAAAATCATTACGTTTATTACCATATTTTGAGATAACATATTATATCCTATTATAGAAATACTCTGCTATACTTTTTCCTTTAATATTACTTATTAAACAAAGTGTACATTTGCGATAAATATTAACAACATCAGTACAGTATTTACACCTTTCATAGATCTTCAGTTTTTCTTGAAATAATCACTCCAATGAATCTGAACAGTCAGTATAAGTACATTTTTTCTTGTTTTTATTGTTACGAAAAGAAACTACAACATACATATCTCGTGATATAAAAATACATATACGAGTGTTTACATTTTGCCGACTTCAATCTAACTTAGCTATATCATTACAGAGAAATTAGTAGTATTTGACTTGCAGTGATTTATTTCTCTACGTTGCATTAGGTTCACATACAAACAGCAGATCGTGCACCACCAATCGGAGTTTATAATCTAGTATATTACTCGGTTCTAAAAGTCAGCCATGCCGTGGGGACCTACAGGATAAAAGTTTCTCATTTGTTGGGTAGAATTAACTAACTTATATCCCAGCTTTTGTAAAACGTCTCCACAGGCTTTTTGAATGGTTAATATCTCTTCCCAGTGAAGTTCATCGACCCACCGAAAGATGACTCTGACAGGCTTTTTGTGAGTTGTAGGACTCTGAAGTTTACCATCGTGGTCATAAAACGTGTGAGTTAGTAAAGTGTTTATGCGTTTTCTCAGAAAAAAATCTATTCGGGGATGGCTAGGGAGTTCAAGAAAATTAAACAATTTTTTAGTTGTCTCGTATGGCCAGAGAGAAAGATCTTCAAAACGAAAACGAAAGAACCGTTGTTGATGATGTTTTTTCAGCGTTTCGCCAGCTGCTATATCCTTACGCATAGCTTCACAAAGAGACTCTGGGCTTCTGCAAGCATCACTTACGCACCAACGACGTTTATTGCGCGATGAGATTATGGCACGCGGGTCACGAACTAAATTAATAATTTTTAAACGATGAAACTCTGGTTCGTCTAACAGCATCGCTAGTTTAGCTAATCGAAGCCGAACAATTTTGAAGAGCAAGCTGGAAGACATTCGACAAGCCTTTGAGAGGAAGTGTTTACCCAGGCATCGTTCGGTTGGTGTAGAGAAACACCGACTTGGATTGGCTTGATATAAACAAGATTCTACGGGTCTTCGAAAACAAGGCCAAGAACAGTTTCTGTAGCGGAACAATGTATCACTGTTCCATTCTCCAAGACGAACCTACGAATAAGTTATTAGTATTAGGCCCATTACATTTTTCAAGACTACATTTATAATCTAGTCCCTTAGGAATTTTCAGTAATTAGAAAAGTACACAATAATATCATTCCAACTTCACCACAGCAGAACGTACTGTGTTTCAGACATACTACACATAGTATATTGTGTTTGCATACATAAAGTATCGTGTTTCGGATATACTACACTGTGTTTAGATACTTCTTTATGTTTAAGTAATGATTAATATATTTGTAGTTCTATAATAAACGTTTCTACTTATATATATATATATAGATAGATAGATGTATGTATGTGTACATTAGCTTACTGTCTACACATTTCTATATTCCTTTAAATATTTCTCACACTTAAAGTTAAAATAAAAGACAAAATGACGTATTTATCTACATAATCTCGTGACAGTAATAAACAGTACTAAGAGGACTTTTTTATCCCATTTAAAAGACGAAACCATTTCACAAATTGGAATTACAACACTTAACACATGCGATAATAATGTTATAAAATAAGTATAAATGACAAAACCATTATATACATTCGAATCCTTTGCTTGAAAATATATATGCGTGTATATCATATAAATATGATTTTGTTTGCTTCGTTATTTATATTCATGATATTATGTAATAACTTTTACCAGTAGAGTTGCTAAAATATTCTTAATTGTGACTAACAGGTAAACTACAAATATCCTCTGTGACCACACTGACTTAAGGTAGGCCATATTCGTGAAATTAATCGCGCCATCTATTTTTATTTAGAAACATACAGATGTTAATATATATATATTAGTTTGGAAACAAACAACAGCTTTAAATTCTAAATATTATTATAAATGTATATTATTTAAGAATTTCATATGATACACTATTCAAAGTTGTAAGCTTCAATATTAAATTATGTTATTAATCTTTACCCTAAAATCTGATTTCTAAACAATTTAACTAAAATTTATAATAATGACAATTCACTTAATTTCGTTCACACCTCAACATAATAATAAGAATAGAGCTTAGGCCACTACTATTTGTGTGTTGTACCAACTGGCCTGATTAACCCTGGTATTGGTCTTACATTAATTGCACATCATTTTGTGAAAATAGGACCCGTATTTAATAAACAATAAAATTAAGAGCTTTTATTATTTTACAAATAATAATAAATTTTTATTGACTTATTTTGATTTTATGAAAAAAAATCTATAATGAATTATTTCTACCTGCTGAAAAAAATCGTCAACATTTTCATATTCACAACGTGTAAGGTGGCGCAACGTCTTTATTGCAGCTTTTGTCTGTTCGGAGTCTAGTTCTCTGAAAAGATCGAAATACATAAAGGGTTCGTAGCGGTAGAAGACTCCAGGATAATTACTAATCATTTCTCCAGTAAAAGTAGACCCACTCCTCCAGTAAGCCTGCAGCAGAATAACGGGTTTCACATGATTTGTTGGTGATGGAAAATGTTTCACGGCAGCAACTTGCATTGTGGCTTCATTTTCTAACAGTTAAAAATAATATTTAAATAAAAAGAATTTCCATAAAAAAATAATTCAAAAATGTCTCTTAAAAACATTGTAAGTTTTGAATATTCTACCCGATATAATTTCTAAAAAAAACAAATTGTAATGTGATTACTAACACAGCCCAACAACTCGTAGACAAAACGTATGGAAAACTGGAAAGGTTTAAACTTAATTTGTCGAAGCTTATTTTCTAGCGACTCATCTTGTCGTCTGTTTATCGTAGCCTGGTTTATTTATTCATTAAATTAATTCGTTGTCTTAGCAGTTCTCTATGACACAATTGTTACGTTCCGTCAACTCCTTTTTCAGCGCACTGTTTCTGCTGTCTTTTGCATACACTGTTGTTACTGTTACTTATGAAGAAATAGTCTTCAAGCAGCTCTAGATCAGTGTTTCTGCCCGCTAGAATTGAAGTAAAACAAAACTATTGCTATTTACAGATGAATGTTCTGTAGGTTTTTTATTTTTGTGAAATCACACAAATCAAACAATGAAGGGATTTCATTGTCTACATATATGTTCAAAACTCGGGTAGACATTTAAAATTAAACAATGAAGGGATTTCATTGTTTATAAATATTGTTACATCTCCGTTCGTTAGTTAATTTTCCGTAAATTCGTTCCGACGAAACTTTAGCGACACAAGTCCTTACTTAATAAAACTGGTTTATTTTTTTCGAATACAACTTTACGATACACTTATTTTCAACAGTCGCGCTATAACAAACACTATAATTCTCAACAAACGTCTCACGT